TATATGTATGCGTCGAGATCCATTCTTTATCTTCTTTCTTCTTCCTTCCTAATACGTTTGTCCAGGTTTCGTTCCACATAGCTTTCAAAGAGTTCTAGTGTTCTTCCACGCCCCATCCTTCAGGGATGTTGCAGAATGTCTCACATTTTGTTTTGATGGCTGACTGACTGACATGAAGATGTCCTTTGTAGTTTGTTCCTTCAGTTTCAGTTATGGGTGTTGAAACTGGACTATTGCCCATCATAATCAGCTTCTGTGAAAGCTTTCAACTTGATTTTGAAGGTTTCTTGCAAAAGATAGTAAATGGTGTGAACCTACATCTGCTCCTCTTCTTCATCTGATCATGTGTCCAGTAGGCTGTGTCTCCACTTTCTTCACATTGAAATGAAGTCGATCTGATTCTTAGTGTGTCTGGTGTCTGGTGAAATCCATGTCGCTTTGTGAATATCCTTGTGTTTTCACACACTGCCTCGCCTCCAATCAACAAATCGTTGAATGTGCAGAAATCTGCAAACAGTTCTCTATTCTCATTCTTTTCACCGAGTGTTTCTCAATCCATATTTAGTTCTCTTCCTGTGTTGTCCGCTCCCCGCAGGTTGGCATTCATGTCACCCCATACATTAGAATTTTGATGTCGCCAACTGGAGTAGGGTCTTGTTTAGTACTGATTGCAGGTGACCGTAGAATTCCTCCTTCTTCTCTTCATCTGCATTATTTGTAGGTGCGTAGAGTAGCATTGTGTGATTGTGACTTTCCTTTCTTTTGAGTTGAATCTTGCTGTCATGATCCTGATCCTGCAGAAGGAGGTTGGTTCCCACTGCACGAAAGCCTGCGATGCTGTTAGGGATATCATGATAGCCACTCCATAACTCAGTGTGCTCGTGTTTGTTGTCTGGGTGACAATATCGGAGTAGATTATTGACTCCACTCCAGTTGACAGTTTGGAGAGTCCACTTCGATTCCATCTGCTTTCGCAGATTCCCAGCACTTCTATGCTACACCCTCCTGTCTCTTTTGCAATCTGGGTAGCCTTGCTAGATTCAAACATGGTGCGGACATTCCATGTTGCCATGTTTACTTTCGCTTTCATCGAGGGAGAGAAGACATATCTGCCAATTGACTTCTCGAAGGTTTTCACCAACTCGTTAGACATCAGAAAAGATTATTTGTACGTCCATCCGAATATTAAAATGTATTGTAGGGTGAATATTTCACTCATTCAGCATTTTAATATATCAAACTTTATATATGCATATGATTCTTACAGAGGTCATATATTACTTGTATAGAAATGTGAGTAGTATTCTCAGTAAGAATGAAAAAAGGTATCACATAAGATATAAGTCGTATTATTTAAAAAACTGTTATGGTAGAAGTGCTTTCCAAACTGGTATTCCTTGGGACAACGATAAGTTACCATTTGTACTTCACTTAAAATTGTGAACTCCACATAGTAATATCTCAGGACTACAAAACTTCACTGTGAATGCTTTAGAATTCAACAAGTTGACTGAAATTTACTGGTAAATATTTTCCAAATTCTACTGGTTCATGATGTAGTATGACCATCAGTGGACACCATCAATGAATATTTGTCATTCAGTTAGACTTGCTGAACCTTACAACACACTGATTTTCATTTCAAATTCAGAAACTCCACCTCGAAATAAATCTCTGATTAGCTATTGCTCTTAATTCAAACGATAGTTTACAGAAAATTAGTTGACTGAATGGTTTCAAGAGTTTCATAAGTCATAGTCATTATGCATTCTACATATAGTAAACTACTCCATTTTGGGAACATTATTAGATGTTGTAAAAGGAGATAGATGACTTAGCACAAATCTATGCCATTTCAACGAGATTTGATGCTGTATAGAACAATATTCATAAAAATTTTCAGCATTCCGGTTTTGTGGCTGAGTAGATTTAGTAGACGTCACACGAATACAGTATATGGCTTCGTGATAAAGTGCAAGTTCTGTGCACTCACCCCCAAGATTAAACGACTTTTACACTTCTTCAGTTCAGGAAATGTATTAATTTAAAAGACCTCTAAAACATTTAAATAAGGTGTGAGAGGGATTCTGTGAAATAATAAAAATTACAGAGCCATTGTCTTTTGATCTGCTGCTGATTCAATATGACCATAAATTCAAAGCTGATATAACCACTGGCACATACAATTATTGTCATGCTTCTGCACTTATCAAATGGTGTTACAAAGGTAGTCGTAGATGTACGAAGAGTTTACTCGAAAAAAATGAAGGAAATGATATCCAAATCAAATCAATATATGGTACAGACTTTCAAACTTGTTGAAATTGTCTATGGTCAGAGCATCACACTGCTAACTGAGCACAGACACTTTCTTCCGAAATTCAGTTCTGAGAAAAAACTTCCAGTTCGTGAACATAACCATTGTCGAAGATGAACAGTTATTCAATTCGGTTATTATCTGTGAACAAAATACAAAGGAAGGCGTAAGTTTGATTGGTGTGAAACGCTTTTTTGTTTTCCGACAGGTCAAGAGTTGGAAACCGATAACACAAGGATTTTCTTTGGTCATGTTTTACGAGGAAATTATTCGACTACACAACTTCATAAGCCTCACAAATAAAATGATTACGTTTTCAGGAACTTAGTGTATAAACTCATCAAATCTTTCCCTGTAGTTCTGTATCATATACCTAGAACTAAGGTAGTTCAACTTAAAACACAGTTTCATGTAACTCTGGCTGCTAAGTAATGCTTGGCAATAAATAAATGTTATCGAGATAATGGAGGGTGAAGTATATAAACAACTGCGCTAATCTGATCACGCCATCTATAGAATAACTACGAGTGTACAAAGTTATATCTATTGATCAAATTGTCACAGATAATGAGAAAGAACTGACCGAATGCATCTCAGCTTTTGCAGATATCACTAATTTTTTAGTCAAACTAGAATTCCAGCCAAGGCCTGTTATGAAGCATGTATGGTCTCGAAGTCACACTGATTCCTCTAAGTCTTCCTAAGGAAAATACTTTTGCCATAACTAATTGATGCGCTTTCAAAATATTCAGAGATGCTTATTTTCAAAAGCCATGATATAAAGCCTCAAAGAAGTACTCTATTATTTTGAATTACCTCAGAAAAGCATTTCCTGGCATGAAACTCAGTTCACTTCAAGCAAACTTTCTAAGTTCACTTAAGAAAATGGTATTCAGCATTACTAAACTCTATCACACACCTTATTCGAACGACCAGGCAGATCAGATCTCCGATGTATTCAAAAGATCCATTCTTACATCAATGTGAAATGAATGATAGAAATACAAGAAAAGCTTTCCCTATTTCATCAATCGATCCTCATCTATGAACAGTAATTGGGCTGTGATTCATGTCAAAAATATGATAATAGCATTCACATTCTGGTTAGTCACACACTTTTAAAATAGAACAATAAAAAGCTATGAAGAAGAAAAAGAGAGAGAGTAGAATAGGCGATACAGTGCTAACCTACTCAGCTATAAGGAAGCTAACTGTTCGGAGAAACCGAGACTTGAAGCTAAGCTGGACACATTGAGTGACAGAACAAAAGTTTAATGTGTCATGTTGTAAGATGAGAGGAACTACTTTAATTAAAACAGTCAGATCACGTAATTTACGTTGAAGTAACATTAAGTTTCGGATTCACGAAGCCATACAGATGGAACGTTTGTGGCAAGTTTGATGCTAGGAAGACAGTTGAATGAAAACAACTAACAGTCCCAGTAGGCGAAGAAATGAAACAGCATCTCAGCAAGTGCAAGCGAGTATCTTAAACCTATCTTACAACTTAAAATATGCAGAAATCAGTATAACTCAAACAGAGAGGTACTAGGGTGTGCAGAAATACAGTCCGTTAATAAAGCTTTATATTAGATGTTCACTAATGATTTGTAGTTTGCCGAATTGTTTCTCTACTGATGCCAAATTTCAGTGGATATTGATGATTAACTGACTGAAAACTTTGATGTACGAAGAAAATCGTCTTATGCCCATGTTGACGTTTACTAGTTGTGTAAAACTTCGTAAACAGTTTGTATATTGTGGAATGAATCAACTCATTACTAATAAATTCAAAACGAATTGTTCCCTAGTCAGATTACGGCAATCGGCAGGAAGTCCTGGACAAACTGTTGGTGCCTCGTGGCACTCGTCAGCAAGGTATATCTGCAATCTCGACTGAACTGATAACCTGTCGGAGATTAGAACCCACATCGCCAACTGCAGAAGTTGGAGATGTCGCCGTTGAACTCTTCGGGAGATGAGTGACTCCTTGTAGAACTGGATTAGATGCATTGATTGGCTACTTGAGAGTGACCAACTAATCGAATCCTACCGAGCATTTCGCAATATGGCCACCGTACTACGAGAATCACCATGGCAGTACAATAAGGCAGATGTTAGCTGCACACAATGTTCAAGTTTCTTAAGTTTTGGTAATATTTGAAGCAGAATTACCTCTCTATGATCATATTGATGGTTGGAATTCCGATCATATTTCTTAGCTGGTTCATTTATTCAGTGTAATATCCCATTTGTCTGATAGCCAAGCAAAGAATTTTTTTGAGAAAGTATATGTCTACACCACTTTTAAACCAACGTATCCCATAGGAAACAGATGAAACCAGCTCAAGGATCTTGTTAACAAGTTCGACTCAGCAGCTGGAATGTTTATTTTCTGTCCATTATGGTATGTCTACATAGATTCTATTTCATGAGGGGATTAGCTGGTGATAAAACTTAAAAATAGTGGAACCGTGTCATTCATACTACCGCTTTTGCATAAAACAATGAAAGTTGTAAATACTGCAAGTTTCTATTCAAGAAATAAAACACTTCACTAGACGTCGGTCACCGATAAGCCATATTGATCAATGTTTCCAGTATTCACATCCTAGCCGTCACCTCTGTGTTGTCAATCAAATTCAAAGATAGGCCGCGAAAGTATATTGATGAGAAAACTATGGAAAATAAAACATCTGTTTATTCATTATCATCATCAACAACAACAACATAGGACTAGGTATTACTGCTTCGCAGTCCGAGTTGCTACACTTCATATCAGTACATCAAGTAAAAGGCAGTGAAGTGAAAGATGAAGAGAAGAAAACTAAGTCAACAGAAATATAAAGTACAAAAGGAAAGTTTCCTTTGCTTACTTAAATGACACAAACATTTAAAAAACAACCAACAAATTAAATATGGTTCACGTATTGAATAGCAAAGTCTCTTTTCGGTCTTATCTTTTTTCTATGGCAATTGAAAGCATTCGGTCCTATGAGGCTAATCGATACAAGTGTGCTTTAGAAAAACTTGAACTCAATCAGACAAAACAACGGTCAAGTCTTCTACACTGCTGAGCACATCTCAGCATGCAGTTTAAATTTCTCGATTTTCAGAGGAAGTTACGGTTGAATTCCCCAAATGGATAGTACCTAGTTGTTTCGTTCTCCCTGTGGTCTGAAAGTCTTGAAAACACTGGGTTTGGTTCTGCTATATATATATATATATATATATATATATATATATATATATATATATATATATATATATATATATCGATTGTCAAGAGAGTTAACAAACGGGCAATGTAGTAAGAACTTTGGAAAACACGGTAAATAAAATAAGTTACATCAATTTTTTCTCTGTAATAATAATATCTATACACAAGTTGTGCGACTCCGTTGATTGAATCATTGAATCAATTAGAAGTTTAATACACATATTCAGTTAAACAGACCTGCTGGATCGAAATGCGTGTCCATGAAAAACAAGAAGATAACGTCAAGAAGATTTTGTCATTGTCTCAATGAGAACAAAGAAAGACTGTGAACTACATGTTATGAAGTTCATTAGGAAGAAATTTTACTCGTAAACATCATTAGACTGCTGAAATTGCAGGAAATAAAAAAAATCACTTTTGTTGAGTACAAAAGATTGTTGATATATGCATGTGTGTAACTAGATTGAAAATAGTTTCATCAACGTTTACTATTATCTCCGTCATCTTCATTTTCGGTGGAGTCATCAGTAATCTCAATATTGAATATAGCACCTGAACTAAACTTATGCCCTAATGGTAATGACGGCAGTGGCGGTGATGATGCCAATATAGATGAGGATAATGGAAATGTTTTCTCATAAAAGCATGGAAGACATGGTATATTTGAACTTTGTATATCCTCAGAGTAGATAAGATTATCAATAGTCGCTAGAATCCCACCGAGTACAGCTAAACTGCCTACAATATAAACTTGTATATGTCTGTAAGTCAACTCAGGCACAAGAAGTTGAATGCATTGGATAAAGAGGCCAGTTAGAATTTTATCAAAAAATGATGCGATTCCATGAACAAATGCTGCTGTTTGTACTTGTTTAACACCGATTAGTGTTGTAACAACAACTAAAGCTCGAACACTATTAATTGTATTACCAATACCCAAAATAGCTGCAGCAAAATAGATTGGTAAGAGACTTTCTTTAGCCGACTGTAGAAAATGTGCAATAACACAAAAGCTTAAAATAAATGGAACACCAAATATTGGACCGATCTGAAAAATAAAACAAAAAAGAAAATGGATGATTTGTTTCTCTATGCACAAACAAATAAAGTAAATTACGCAAAAATTAACTCATTTTATTACTTTATAAAAAGTAGATTAAACCAAGTGGATTATTGATCTATATGTGATCATTTCCAAAATTCATCACATATTGATCTAGTCATTATGTCAGAGACTGAAGAACAAATTCAACAATGTCAGGACTTGGTTTCATTTGAGTTTCCACCTACACCTGTAACGTATCCTACGATTTACAACTAAGGAGGGAAGTAACACTTTGAAAAGTGCAATTACTTTCCAACCGATTGACACTGGACATCAAGCAGACGTCTTCAATTCCTTCAAGATAAAAGACAAACAAAAGAATTCTACTTGAGTCATAGCCACTAAACGCTTCAGAAAGCACCTCTGAAGTTCTCAAACCTACTGAAACTGATACACCTAGACTTAATGGTCTGCCAAAACTGCATAAAAACGGATTGCCTCTCCAACCAGTTCTCGACATGGCAAACGCTCCGTACCATCCAAAAGCAAAATGGTTAGTGCAACTCTTGATGCCTCTCCGCAAAGAAGTTGTAAAGTACGGTTTCAAGGATGCATTTGAAGCTGTTGAGAAGATTGAGGATCTGAAAGTAGATAATAAGTCAATGGTGTAGTGTGACGTTCCTTTAATGGAGACAGTAGACTTAATTTGCAGCGAGCTTACTAAGTACGGCTTGGAAATAGGCACTCCAGTCTCCGCATTAAAAGGATTACTTCAGAAGTGTGCGATGAACGCACAGTTCCTTTTCAACAGTGAATTGTACAGATAATCTGATGGTGTAGCCATCGAGTCACCCTTTGGCCCACTCTTAGCAGACTTTTCCTGGCAAAACTAGAGAACGGTCCGCTGAACGAAACTATTTGCCAGTTAGAACTGTATTGTCGTTACGTGGATGATACCTTTATATTCCTCCAAAGTGAGACTGATAAGAATGCTGTTCTCAATAAGTCCAGTAATGTCCACCCAGCAATCAGCTTCACAATGGAAGAGGAGAAAAGTGACAGCATCCTATTTCTTAGCGTCGTACCCCTCCAATACAAAAGGAACCTGGTGAAACGCCTAGCATACCGCCCCACAGCTATTAGCTCAAATGATGCTATAGAGGAAGAGTTCGCCACTATCCGTGACCTACTTAGTAGGAATGGCTATCCAGTCAAGTTTGTAACTAAGCATACGAATGTTACGAAGGTTAAGACAAGAACGCCAATAGTTCCTAAGAAGCAATTCTTCTTGAAGCTGAAATTTAAAAGTGACATTGCCAATGAGATCATCACACAGCGCATAAAAAGAGTCCTGCAGGAAGCATTCCTAGCCACTAAGTTATGTCCCATCTTCTACAACCGTGCGATTTTAGGCACAAGTAATAAAGATAAACTCCCTGATTTTACCACTTTTATATGCATTTATCAGTTCAGCTGCTCCTGTGGGCTAGTTACATTGGGCGTACAATGAGGCAGGTCAGTTGTCGAATTTCTGAGCACCACCCATCATGGTTGAGCAAGGGACAATTTAGAACAATAATAAGCTCCAAACTTGCACACGTAGTTGACACAGGACATCAAGTTGATACTAGAAAAGCTTTCAAAATCCTTCATCAGATTCCAATTAATTTACCACATGGATTACGCACTCGGTTTCTTCATTTAGCAGGGGCGACTGCAATCCACTTTTACAAACCTGACCTTTGTATTCAAAAGAAGTTTGTTCGACCACTTTCATCACCGTGACCGTCAACATAATGTAACGTCTAGTATTACTTTGTGCACCTCTTCCCCTTCTTGTTTATGTCAATATTCATGAGTTTTTTTATTAGTAAGTAATAATCTATTGTTTATGACTGAGCACTCATAGAAAAGCATCACTCCATTAACCTAAGAATAAACTGCTTCATATTTCCAATTTTAATTACTCTATTTCTTATTTACTTCTTAATTTCTAAAACAGTCTTCATGATATATTTAAAATCTATAATTATTGTTCACAAGCCCCCACCACTTGATTGGTATTTTGATTGAATTATAAAACCCTATTATAGTGTAGAGCACAAGACGAAGACCTAATTGAAAAGGAATATATTTCTTTGCACAGTCAGTCTGTTTTCCAAATGTCTAAGTGGGAATATTCAATGTACTGATGAATGTGTTTGAAAAGAAGCTATAGTCAACTTCTGTCTACCTTGGCAGCCCTTATTTACTATTATTTGATTGCATCACCGCTTATCAGCCGTAGGTGTTTGTTTTACTTTTATTTAGTTACATCATCTTCTGGTCATATCGAGTGTTTTTAACTAAATGAGCTGAATTCATGATACTTTGCTTATTTGAACAATGCAAGAACAAAGATATTTGCAGAATAAAATGAGCTCACTTCATTTCATGGTCTTTCATTTTATTCTGCAAATGTCTCCGTTCTTGTACTGTTCATAACTGTCAAAGGAACTAAATGTACGTACGACTGCTTATTTATCATATGAATTATGTAATCTCATAGAGTTAAGTTTCTTAATATTTTGAGTACCACCCATGTTGTTATTTTATCTGAGGAACTTCAACTATATTATTCAGACATACACTAACCTGTACTAGAGCGTGACGGGCGTCCAAACTGGTACTTTAGAAGCGCCAGTAATCCTTCACCGGGCCTCTCGAGCGATGGCTTGTCGCACGGGGTCTATCTGTGTCCATCTTTGGCCTGATGTTGGCTGATGCCATGTGAGATAGTGTCTTTTCCTGTGTCTGTAGTTAGCGGTGGCGAGAAACAGGTGATTGTCAGGAAGAAATTGCAACAGATGGTCACCCTTGTCCATTTGTTGGCACGAGGTTCCATAAATATCCCCAAGATGCTTGTCCCATTGGCTCAGCTTCCCTACTTACTACAATGACCACATCTGAACGTTTCGCTCTCTGTAGCAAAGTTGACAGCTTTTCATAGAATTCATCTTTTGCACCATCTAAACTGCAGCCGGAGGGTGCGTAGACGGAGATTATGAATGGGCATCGGTTGGTCTCACGATCGTTCGCAGCCCTTACAGATCCAACCAGTTAAACAACACATAGCCGGATGTTTACTGGAATCCAGTTGAAGAGCGTACTTTATGCCTTTCAACTCAGTGCTAAGCTTACACCAGCTAGTCCTCGAGAGCTAGCCACTAGGTCTCTCGATGCCCCTAAGGTGAATTTTGAAGATTCGCTAGTACAGCCAGATGAGATCAATTTAATAACCACACTCAGGTCCTGTATACGTGTCTCAGAGACAATATACATCCATAGCTCGAGATTCCAGAGTTCTAGCGAGTGATGGTTGCTGTTCGATTTGACATGGAGTTTGGACATTAAAAGCTTCTACATAAAATCGACGGCAGGGTCTACGGAGACTAGAAATGAATGAATGGCTTTAATCGTTAACAGAGGTTGCAGAGTGAGATTGAAGAAGTTATAAGAGGCTCAATACTAGTATCATGAGGTGAAGGCGAAGAAGGAGACAAAGTTGAGGAGGATAGTTTACATTTAACTGGGTCGTGTGTACTACTGGGAACATACGAACGGCTGACACTTCCTGGCTGCCCACACCATGGGAGATGATTTCCTCTCAATGTACTTGAAAGAGAAAATGATTTGCGTGACCTTAGAGCCTATTGAACATCTTCTTAAGGCCTAGCTCACACGGCCTTTTGTGGGATGCTGTTTTAAGATTTGATTGCTCTGACGCTGGCTAGAGAGATCCCATACCGGCTGCCTTGGAAGACCGGTGGGCAAGTGGAGTGTGTTGTTTTTGCGGCCTGGCTTTTCGTACCGCCCCCTTCCATTGGGAAGGCAGTATTAAAGTGGCACTGCTAGTCATCCAAGGGGAATACCTTACTGCTGTTACATCCTAACCAGCTAGCAGCAGCAGGACTTAGCCCTCCCATCATAGAGCAGTAACTCATACCACAACGGGAAAAGGGAAGACAGTCGAACTTTTGCCATACACTTCTGAAAGTTATTGGCTATTTGCTAATGAGGAAGAATATTTTTAGTCCCGCCCGATAAAAGGTTAGTTCGTTTTCTAAAATATATTAAATTCAATCAGAAAATCATTTTTAATTTTATTGATTCGAATAATGAATAATGAATTGTCGAGGTTGTCTTTAAGCTGATCTATTCCATAAAATGCCGCGTGAATTTAAATGATACATTAGAAACAACGATGTTAAAAATGTCAGATAAGCGGGTCAACTGTCGCATTCTTAAACTGGGAGCTGAAAAGTTAACACATTCATTTTCTTAACACTTCTACCCCACAGTATTGGCAATGCATTAATTTTATCAGATGTTTTTAAAAATTAGAGTGAAAGTCTTTTTGAATGAATATGCAGATAAGAATAACATGAATATTTAATTTTCAGATTGGTGACTGGATACACAATCAAATGAGTATGTGAACAAGAGCATCCATTCTAGTAATGTGTTTTATTTCAGGAATCCTGCTTTCATGTCACCTTTGTTTGCCGTCTAAGTTACCCTATTCTCTAGACTGTACGTAGTTTGATATTTCAAGGCTTGTACTACCATCTACATGCCTAGATTGGAATAAACAGAAAGATGGAAATGTTTTAGTTGCATTGTGTCCTCTGAGCTGGGTTGCTTAATTGTGAAGCTTTCATCGTCTTTCTAGACAACATCATCAGCACTAACTTCAATAGGACCACCCGGTGGTCGCTGGTTCGAATCCGACCACGGTCCAGATTTTCATCTCACCTTCAGTCATCACCCAGTACAAATTAATGGTAGTAAGACCGCTAACATTTAATTCAATAAGAACATTGAACATACATGTGCAAATGCACAGGGTTTCAAGCTTTATCTCACGGATTCTTGGGCCACTGATGATAAGAAGTACTAGGGCTACAACTACGCAGCCCATTTTCCCAGGTAAAGTTTGCGTAAACAATCACTAATTTGACGCACAAATAAAATTTCCTGATATGATCACTTCCAGTCTTTCTCGAAATCTACTGTCAGTGCATTCAACCCATCGTACCACAATAGGCACTGATAAAGTGTACGTAAATATCGGTTTAGTACTCTCTATTGTTTGATTTTTGTCTCTTCTCTCTTCAAAACTCTGTACTTAGTCGCGTTACTGTTCAGTTAGTGGTTTCACTTCAAGTGAGCAGTGCTCCGATGACAACTAGGAACAGCTATTATTTAAACCACCTCAAGTGGCCATGTATCATACACAATATGTGTCAATTTAATTCGCCATAGTTTTTGGCCAGTAAACGAATGAGAAGTCAGTAAAAGGAACAGAAACCTTTTTCAGCCAAACTATGAGAGGAACTCAAACGCACTTCAGACAAATGGATATCGAACACTGGGACCATGGATGAAGCTAAAAATGAAAACCAGACCATGTTAAGATTCTAACCAGCAGTCTGTTGATACGACCCAGGTTTTCGTCCGGACGTCAATCTTCACTTCATCATGCAAAATCAGTTTACCAGGTAGTTTGATCGATTAAAATATGGAGTACTTTTGTATATGCAGCTTACCAATAATCTCATTGCAATCAAAACAGAGTACTAGAGGGTTTACAATGTACAATTCAATAATTACATCAAGTGTTTGCCTAGCTTACAAGAAAAACAACTGAGAAATGCTTTTTTAAATGACGGCTGACCAAGTACAGATAAAAACATCCACATAAAACCTTCTTACATAATTTCCCAATAGCTTAGTAACTCTTTGTACAACAACCGATGTAACCAGACAGCAAACTGTAGTAACCAATGGAACAGAGACCATTAAACTTTTATCCATCTGTAGTGAATTCAGGAGAAATGGACTCATGTACATCTAAAAACAAAATAAAAAGGTATTTTCAATGAAGCAAATTAAGAAATCAAAGTAGTGTGGAAAATTTCAAAGCATCTTAATGATGTGGCACTTATATTGGTGTTTTCATCTTTAGATGATTTACAGTAATTGCAGATGATTCTTGACTTTTGGTAAAAAAAAGAGCACAAAATAACTAGAAAAATCAGACAAGTAAGAGTTGGTAGTCATTTCTTTATGAGTAGTCATTACCTAGAAGTGACTAAGAACACTAGGGCGTAAAATCTGAAAGTATTACAACTTTTTCGCGCACAATTTTATAAATATCGCTGTTTAAATATCTTAAAGGTTATGCTCAACACCGACATCACTGATTAGGAGTATTACTAAGTGCCATATCACTCTTAGATGCGTTCAGTTTCTTCCTGTTCCTTCAATTAAGCTTAAAAAAATAGCAGTCCTCTGATTTAGTTTGAATGGATATACGGAAGAATAGTCGAAATCTAAGTTTTAAAGGTGAAAGCCACAACAAATTCATATATCTGTGGTGTATGAAACAGTACCTTACACTTTCGCAGTTAATTCTATATTTAGATTATGTTTTTTAAAAAAATACCTGTTCACATATTATGTTTAGATTTGAAGTGGAAACTATTCTGATATGCTTATCATGGTCTCGGTTCACACCGAACTCAAAAGAATATACTACTGAACAACTTGAGTAGTTAGAAACCACTCAGGCTAATCTGTAGTATCTGGCTAGCCAGATCAGAGTGATCTAAGCACTGGATATCTGTTTTTTCATTTAGGACTGAGCTTATCAGCACTGTACGCGGACAAATTCATTTCACAGAGCCGAATTAGTTCAGACCACCTGAATCTGTCAAGCTGATTTACGTGAACCGGTATACCTAAAATAAGTTGACCGATTTGCAAACGATTTACAAATTGCATGATCCACGTCGATGTTTCTCACGGCTAAGTGGTTTTCCAACTGCCTAACCATAGCGTCAATAGAGTTTCCGTTGCAGTCCACTCAGCTAAGATCACAAAGTGTGACCAATGACATAAAACTATCACGAACTAGTGGAATATAATACGGAACAACTTGAATAGTTATAAACCACTCAAACCGATGAGCTGTTGAACTCGAATCCAAACAAACGAAATGGCCGTCCGGTGTTTAGATCATTTTGACCTGGTTAGAGAAATCTACAACTCAGATTGTTCCGTAGTATATTTCGTAAATTCATGACATTTTTATATTAGGGATCACACCTTATTATTCTTCTTGGATGGTTTCCAGTGAAAAGCCTGTTGACACCAGGTGGACAGTTGATGAACTACTCAGCTGTGAGAAATTTCAATGTGAACCGTGCAAATTTGTGAATCCTTTGTATATTTCCTATTTGACCACTTATTTCCATGATGTAGGCGTTCATCTAGTTGGAGACTAAACTACCTCAAGAGTTTAACACAACACTAAACTACTCCTGAAAACTAGATAATCAGTCTTATTTAGTTTTTAAAGACTATGTAATCTTATTTCAGGAGATATTTACGTTTATCTAAATTAAAAAAGAACGTTATCACTGTTACAGTCATTTCTCCGCTTTTCGAACAAACAGGTTATCAATAATCTTACAAACCAAATTCCATCAGAATGTTCAGTTCACTCCTGACTAGCTTTAAGACAGATTTCCTAAAGTACCTTACTGAGAAGCCGTTACCCAGAATATCAGTCGAGTCATGTGTGAAACCAGTTACTTATCGGTGACATTAGATGATAATAAGTTAAATCAGCAACCAGCAAAAGTTGGAAATATGAAATGCTGTATTTCGATCACAAGATTCAGTGGTAGCCTTCTCTTGACGAGATTTAACAGTACTTAGATTGATACTGTGTGTGGTTAAGTACACAATACTCAAAACTTCCAAACGTTGAGAGCATAACTGTCTTCCAGTCCCTGCTAGTTTTCAATGCCTTTCTAGGTGACGTATATCCACAATTAAAGCTGCCTTTAAATTACTCTCTTCACTATTAACCGCCAAAACAGATACTATGACTTTAATTAAACATCATTAGTGTTCTTTTTTTCTTTCATTTACTCTTAATTATTTTGAACCATAAAGGTCACTCATAACAAGTTGAAAGTACTTGGCATACTTGGAGGTGATTTTTATCATAAGTAGATATCGATTGAATAAATACAATTTTCAGGCTTGGCTTTGTTTAGATTAGCCTTCTCAACTATGTGTGATATGGTATTTTCAGAATAATAGACTTATTATAGATGATATAAAGGCATTTACTTAATAATAAATACTCAAGGCCTATAATGGGTATGTTATAAGTGATATTGTTGAAATTAGAAAATACCGGTTGATTGATATTGACGCTAGCCAGTTTTTAGTTGATATCAGTTAGAATCTCCACTTATGAAGAAATATGCGCAACCAGTAACTTGTAGAGTAATTAAGTTTAGCTGTCTATATCCATAACACCAGATATTAGGAGTAATCACTCCCATCAACGAGCTGAAAGATAAGCTGTATTATCTAAGGGTTAAAACATCCCTTTCTGAAATCCAAGAAAGTATTTCGCTTACTAAAACCATAGGACAACAGTTTCAGTTTCTATTTTGAGATGGTAACAATGATGAAACGGAAATGTTGTCCAACCTACACGGACATAAACTTGTTCCTGAATTCCCTCAACGGAAGTGTATGACTTTTCGTCCGTTGTTTATTCTAGTAAAAGTTCAACCTTTTTAAGTATATGAAATAAATCACTCAGAATGGTGACTGAATGTGAAATAGAAACCCGGGAAATAGCGGTTTTCGAACCGGCAGCCTTCTCATACTTCCCTAGCTTACCAGTAAATAATTCCAACGGATATTAATGCCTAGTAGTGTCTAGAATAGCTGGATAATGAACGAATATTATCGAAAGCCTCATTCATAATAAAAGTTTATAATATGCCTTCTAAAGGAAGGTTTCCATCATAAGTACTTCTAAGGCAGCAATACAAGTTGCGAGAGAAAGCTAGTTAACTTTCCAAAATTCTGGATGGTAACCAATAATAAGGTGATTTGAAATAGCCTTGATTAATCAATTAAACTTAGCTCTTATGAATGACTAAAGTTAGGATACTGTGTACCACCTGTGTGCACAGCGGTTTAGCTAAACTCCTGCCTCGGTAAATGACAACAAAATGTGATGAGTAATCGGGTTATGTAATTAGATTTCAAGGCGTAGTGTGATAAGCTAAAGGCTGCCATTCTGAACCCATATCAACAGAAAATCCGTTTTAGGATCAGTCAACATATGCTGCGGATTATGACCCACAAAAATGATTTACACTTGTTGTTCAGGTCAACAACTTGCAACTAAAAGTTAAGGAAGTCTATGAGCAAATGATCTCAGTACACCAAAACGTAATTTCCCTGGTAAGAACACAGAATTATAAATGTTAAAAATTTCAAGAGAATTCACGGAATCAAAACTGCAACAGATTTTGTCATTTGCAACATCTTTTAAATATTGTTAAAAGAATAAATTAAAACTAATATATATGAGCACCTAAGATTTGACTCAGTTGGCCGAAACTAATCGGTTAAAGTCAATTCGTACACATGACTAGGTTTTTGGCAGTCAAGTGTCTGAATGAATAAATTACAGTTCCATAATTCGCTTTCTAAAAGGTAGTCAGAATTCTACTAATTCTTGAGCGCATTAACCAATCCCTGTACAGCAAATAATGAGCACTTTTTATTAATATCCTGTAATTAGATAAAGCCGGATGATTGTCTCGAATATATTCATAATAAGGACATCATATAAATCCATTTTCAAGCTTATTATGTTATATACCAGTGGTATAAGTGCTGAATACCTGTTTCATTTGTTTTGAATCCATTTGATCCCAACTATATACCTGCAGAAGTCCATTTAATAGAGTCAAATTATTCATCTGTAAGAAATGTCTATGTGAGTAATGCTGTCTGCAAATAATTTGTAAACTTTTTATCTAATTCTAGGTTGGATGCTAACTGACTTTGTATTGGGAAAGAAATCGTACTGATAACGGATGACGGAAAGATAACTTTACACCTTGGAAGAACCTCTGGAGAGAAAGATAAGAGTAGGCGATCAGTGATCTAATTCATATAAGAGTGCAAGTAAAGCTTTTCACGACTTTCTTCAGAAACTTTGAGCCTTTAAACAGCTATACCGTCTATCAATGACTAGTTTAGAATGTAACACTTAATATTTTTCAACCTTATGAATGAGTTCCATTTACGGTTGTCATGAAATAAGAAAGTTCTATGGCTTATTAAACTTCAGTGGTCTTAAAGTCTGTCTTCTTCTCTACATTTCAATTCTTTTTTAAGATTTACTTGAGATCTTTTTAATCTCTACGTTGCGCAGCATATAAGCTTTTTCTACCACCGTTTTAATCAACAATGATAAAAATTATGATAATTTCTAATCACCAAACTCAGGAATTCAGTTACTGAACTCGACTGAATCTGTCACCTTACTTTACTCAAATTTCAAGTATCCTTGTGTATATCTTTTCTTTGAACTTCAGATATTATTAACTTGGTTCTTGTATAAGGTCAGCATACGAAAAATAAAAAATTTTAGTCACAACTGCTTATCAGTAGGCGGAATTTACAACTTACTAGAATAAAAATCATTAAAAGAACAGAACGATAATACTTACCGCAGAAACAGTTACACTAAGACGCATTATACTGAATGTAGAACAGCTTAACCAAAATCGTGGTAGTGTAAACCATGCATACCATGGTAAGGTTGCTGAAAGACTGTAGGTTCGTCTTCGTGTTGATTTGGATTTCAAAACTGAGGCATTGCAATTGTCACCATTATTTTTTATATTATCATCTATCGTATTAGCCGCTAAATTTTCATCGATTACATCTTAGTGGAAAAGAAAAAGAAAAAAATTGCTTGTAAGCAGCGTAAAACTTATGACTTCAGTTATTTAGAAAAACTTGAGAAGAAGAAATACATTGCCTAATATTTTTTAGCAAATCATAGGGATAAATGTGATGCATAGGCTTCACTTTAGCTTGATAAATAAAAAGCACTAACACTTGATAACCATGACCTTGGTAGGGAATGTTTCACTGATTTAATTATCGATACCAAGGCAGTCATTTTTAGTTGGTTGACTACAAAGTCACTGACAACCAGGTGACAACGTTCAATTTCCATACCCTGATTTATACAGTAAGACTGAACGCATTTAGTAGAATGGCTCTGTAGTATGCATATGAATCAGTAACTCAGGCTGATTTCTGTACAACATTCATTGAGAATTTTTGTGAAATGAGTGTGGCAAGTCGTATGATTATTTAGGAGTTCCACTGTTTACAACTGAAAGGAACCGAAATAAACCGGCGCATACCAGGAAACAAGATTGCAACCAGTGTGCCTCACATTCTGCAAATAAAGTAACATTTATTCCACAATGAAATAAGATGCAGATGGAAACTAGGATGAAACTTGAAACTGCACTAATTTCTCACAGTTCAATAAGTATTCGTACAAAAGAATGTCAGACACTCATGCAGAAATGCACTTAATTCTGGGAATTAAAGAATGTGCAAACGAAAGGACAATAAATGAATCGATTTTCTGAGAATTCTCTGCCCACAGAAGGATAAATTCATCTATTCCGTTACCCAAGATTCTATTGTCAGTCACAGTTTTCCCGGGCAGCATTGATAAGTTTCAATAATGTTAATCGGCTGTCGACTACTACTTGTCAGGTAAAGGAACCACTATGCTTATTACTCCAGATATCGTTTATTTGTGTTTCCAGTCGACGAATTTTGCTGCTTCCTTTGAACAAGATTTCTGTCAGTTTATTTTCATAATCTTTCGACGCTTCTGAGTGCAGTCTTTTAATGAAGTTCGCAAAATTAATCCAACAAATAATATTTATGTACTTGTGTACTGAATTTCCTGAAAATATCTGGATTGCTACACTTTAAGTGAACAACTATTATAAAACGTTATCGATTAGCCCTATGCAAACGGAAAAGAGAATTTTTCGTAATGTTTCTGAATTCTCAATAAGGCTGAGATTAAAGTGGTATTCAGACCAACAAACTCGCTTAGAAACAAGCTTTGTAGGTTAAAAGATCCTATCGATGAAATTAAGCAAAATAATCTGATTTACCAAATCCCTTGCAATGGTTGCGAGGTCAAGTACATAGGTCAAAGCAATCGACCAGGGTCGATTAGAATAGCAGAGCACAAAAACTTAGCTAAATCAAGATCCTAATAAGATAAGAAATCTAAAGAAAGCTCGGTTACAGCTCTGCATGCGATGACACACAATCACACAGTAGGATGGGATAGAGTGAAGGGAGAGACTGATAAGTGAATATTTGTTTATCGAATAAACACCAAATACATGTAATAGATAAGGATGATTCTGCACCTGTCCCAGATATATGGAGAATACTACTACCCTTGTCATCATAAAGAAGGAGAGAAAATTAGGAATATATAAACTGTCTCAAAGTTGTGGAGTAACCTGATATGAATATGGACAATAAATTGTATCCGGAACGTTATCCAGTAAATGATACTGTTTCACTGTGTGATATCTCTAATATACAAACCAAAATGGACTTCGGTGTGTGTGATTACATAATTTTGTCCTAGTAAGTATTGTGATTTTGGCCTGAATACGGCCGATAAGTACTTGTGAAGTGGAATAACATCCTTTTATTCTGCGAATCTAGTTATATATATATATATATATATATATATATATATATATATATATATATATATATATATATATATCAAAACTGTTAGGTGGATAATTCATGTGTGATTACCATTCAGGAGGGGATATGGAAAACTGCTGGTTTGTAACAGTGGACTATTCGATGCACATAACTCACTTCTTACAACTAACCTAAGGTGTAATTTAACTAAGTCTAGTAACACTATTTGGTTGTCTTATAGTGAAAACTGTGTTGAACATTCTGAGGTTTTCAAGTCGTTGGTTTATAATAGGGTGATATTTCTACCATCTTTGTGTCTGCTAGCATAATATCTATAAATTATTTTATGCTTATTGTGGGTGATGACTGAAGGTGAAATGAGAATTTGGACAGTGATGGAATTGAAACCAGTGATCATCGAGTTTCCATTTCGGTTCTCCATCAACGTTACTCATTATCCAGCAATAATACAACTGTGTTAAACCGCGTCTACGTCAGATATTGGAATTGGTACTTCATATTTATCAGTTTCTAGATAAATATACACTGTTATTCATGATGGTACTTTCTTCATACCAGCCTCTTCACCGTACGACAGCTTAGCAACATCTCTTCGCCCACATTTCTGATCCGATTTCATTAGATCTGATCACAATGGGCTCAATCGTTTGGCTTTTAACATCCATGATTTATGTTACTTAAGATGTACAAAGTATCTTTTTCAGCTGAGACGATCAACACTCTATTTCGAACTGAATAATATTTCACTAGCTGAAGTGGTTAAGCTCTATTCATCTTGATGACTAGGATAGTAATCCAGGACGTGCGTTCCGCCTTATTTGGGACTCGTTAGATGTATGTCTCTGCACCCCACGAGACTCGAACCCAGTACACCTCGCTTCAAACCCGAAAGTGTTATCCAGTATGCCACGGGTGCACGACAGCCACCTGTTGTGTAACAGGTATCAGTTGTTGTAATGATAATTATAATTTAAGACATACTTTACTTCCTACTTAGATTTGCTCATCTTGAAGGTAAATATTTCTGCCTAAGCATAAGGTATTAAGAAAGAGTATTCCTGCAATGGAATACATCTTCCGTACCTTCTCCAAATCAGTTTTTTGTAAAAAGGACAACTACCAGATTTCAAGGCCACATGACATAAAATATTTACATTGTTTATTTTACTCACTTGCATAAGCCTGCACTTCTATACGTTGACCGAGTTTCGGTTTACCTTCACGAACACCACAGTGGAAGATAATTATGAACAACGCACCGATCCCGGTGACGATTAATGCAACACCTCGAAATATCGGTAGATCTTCAATTGTTATCTTATATTCCAAATTTATTAATGATTGGTTATAAGCATACATTGATTCATTCATTAAACGATTTTTATTACCATTGAGTGCACCATCTACTTCGCCTGATGATGCTGTAGCGAGTGTCCTGTTATAGTTAATATTATAATTTATTAATTTCTGACGCTCTAAATTGGCTTTCTCCGATTCAAAGAAGAAATATGATACAAGTAGAGTGAACATATCACCGATACCACTGAAGAAATACCTTAACGATGCCAATAGTACTCGTTCATCGTGTTGATCGGTTAAATCGTTGATAATTGATAAGTGAGGTATTTGTATAGCTGCCCAACCAACCTTAATAAATTTGGTATAACATAAAAAGTAAGAAAATATATTAGTTCAGTTTGGAGGTTTGTGAGAATGTATTAATTTCAGGTTGGTATTCATCTTGGGCTGTCATCAACTGGAGGAATATTGGAAGCCTAGGAGCACTGGACAAGTGTCTTGTCCCAGTGTAGGACTCCTCAGCAGCGTGCACTCATAATCTCATCAAGGGTCGAACCCAGGGCCCCTAGGTTTCACGTCTAGTACGTTATCATTTGATTGCAACCCAGTAGCTAGATGGTGATGTGCTGGCCGTGGGACCTGAAGGTTCTGGGTTCGATCCCTTTTGGGGTCACGTGTGCACACTGCTGAAGAGTCCCTTACTAAAACGAAGCAACTGTTCATTACTCCCAGGTTTTCAATGTTCCTCCAACTGATGTCAGTCCATGAGGAATACCAACCGGAAAATATTTTAAGCTGGTTTGTTTGTTAGTCTCATTTAAAAAGCTTAGTAATAAACATGGCTTATAATTTATAGGCTTTACTTTCATATCCCATTAACACTCAGGTTTCTTTTCAACCTTAACCATGATTCTCCTGTAAGAATAAATTCTACCTATTAAGTTGGTCATGCATAGTTTAATTATTAGTACAACAACTTTGAAGGATATAAGGGTGTCAAGAAAAGCTTACACCTCTTTAACATTTCAGTGATTAAATTTTTCCAGCTTGATAGTTCAATCTTCACTATTTAATGACAATCAGGTGATTTTACCATAATGAACTCCGAAAAGAAGCGATCTCAAAGTGTATCTTCATGATTGGTGCCTCCGTGTCCTTTGAAAACCAATAATAGGCCGAGTTGTGTTTTGTCATGGTATTCCAAACACATAGTCATCACAACAAGTGGAAGAAGGGGAGATATAAAAAACGTTGAGTACGTTTTAAACTCACAACTGTTCCCTCATTTTAAATTTAAAAGAACAAGAACAAATATTGGGGCAGAATGAAGTGGATCTATTTTGTTATTTCAGCAGTTCTCATCGGCTGCTTACAACCAATAATATTCAAAGTGACAAATTACAATAGAATATTAACGCACTTTAGTTCAATGAGATTAATCCAAACAGGACAACAACATAGAGAAGCAACGAAACTATGCGAATAGAAATGAAGTCAATATGTCATGTAGTGATTTCATAAATATCTTGTTAGAACGAAAATCCTCTTGAAAGTGAGATTGGGTCAGAAAAGCCAATACTTTGCGACTTGGAATGAGCAACTGCCTAAGTCGATGAGTCGATAGTTTGGTAATAATCAGAAAACAGAATGTATTAAAACACAATGAGAGAAACTCAGTAGACTAAAATTACGGTTTATTGAGAACTAAAGTCTAATGACAGGATAATGACGTAATCACCTAAGTAAAAGGTTAATTGGATAAAATTGGTTTCAAGCGTTTGAGAGCAAGGGTTTGCTGATTGTTTTGAGTGATCTCAAAGCATATACTTGACGTCCTGCATCCACTGAATGTCTGCTCGATAGTTGTATTATTAGGAATATTTGTACCTCTTAGTCATAGGTTGTTCGAGACTTATTCAAAATATGGAAGGAAGTACTTCCTTCTGTTCTTCCAATGTGACTACTCCTACAGATACTTGTGAATTCACACACACAATTTGAGGTAACATATGAGGGGTGTCTGTCAATTTTTGATTGCACGTAAGAAGTTTGAATTAGTGACAACAGATTTGTTGTTGGGCATTTCCTAGTCAGTACAGGCGTGGTCTTCTGTTTAATGTCGTCAAGGTGAATAAAGACTGACTTCTTACTTGCTGTTATTTTCTTGATTTCACTGCATCACCTTCTACCGTAATCGATGATAAAGCTTTGAAGGGATCAGTTTTCTTCAAGATGCTTTTCGGAAGATAATAACTGCTCTTCAAGTTTTTTAGGTGAGCATATTCCTTGTGCCATACAGAAAAGCGTTTTAACCAGTGCCTGTTTACAGTTGACTGGACAAAAGCCGTTGAAATTAAGCCTGTTCGATAAGTAGATCTCTGAACTGTACCATCATTTCTAGGTTGAATGTTAATGTCGAGAAGGTTGAGTTTACCGTCTTTGTGTTCCGTTATGATGGGTGGTGTAACTTCTTACATACAACGAAAGTATCATCGACGTATCTATGGCAGAATGTTGTTTAATTAACTGTTACATTTATTTTAGAATACTGTTTCATCAGAATGTATTTCATATTGTTTTGGTAATTATTCTTTTAAGCTTTCTTCAGATATATTAATAATGGTTTCATTCCTGATCGCTAAAACGAAATAGTCTTTTATTCATCAAAAATTCCCTATATTTTTCAGCATAAATCGCTTCAGTGTGTATTTACAAGTTGATTCTAATGGAATAAACGGTGGAATACCCACGAATTATCTGACAGAGCTGCTTCTGAGCTGCATATTAGACGTTCAGGCAAAAGATGGATCCTTCATTTGCAGACTTCATACTGAAGCTACGAAACACACTTTTACGGCCCCTAAAAAACATCTTTCCATAAATTTACAGTTTAAAGGAAATAAATCAGCTTAAATGTTGCGTAACCACCTGGCATATTCACTTAGAATGATATTTTAGGCTACCAAAAATTAGGCTAACTTTCACCACTTACAAAATACTTTCATTATGTAAAGGATAGCTCCATTGGCCACCTACATATGTGTTTTTCAATTCATATGCTGTTATGGAGTAAAGTATGCTAGCTGCACTCAGCGTTCACTTTCTTAAAGCTCCACAAACCAGAGTACTTCACAGCTCCGACCTAAAACATTTTATGGGTTCTAACCACACAATTAACTCAGAAACAACCTCAAGATTATCTATAGGGTTCGTGCAAACCTTGTGAAACTGCTTCAAACTTCGAAATTCATGGCAATTTTATATTTTGAAGCCTATACTCTGCATTCAGAAGAAGTTTGTCCAGTCACCCGCTGTGCAAATGATATGAACTGTAAGGCTATTTTAATTCATTGGTTTACTAACACATAACGTTTTCTCAAACGTCACACTCTTCCATCCTTAATATACTGATTTCTCACTACATCCCTAACTTCATTTAACCGTATTGTATCAGTCAACTAACTTAATATTACTTCGATTTCAATCAGTTTTCTTCCCATTATTACTTTAAACATTACCTAATTCTTTTTCCTACATTTTAATTAATGATCAAAACTGAATTGCTTTCACAAAAGAATGTTGTATCAAACATTCCTAATTTGTTACCAATTGAATGTAATTGTGTTGTGGACATGCTATTCAGCTATATAAATGTATAAGGTGTGAGTTAGAAACCAACTGCTAGGAGAAAGAATAACAAATCCTCATCTTACATACAATTCAACCAATCATCCATCAGTGCAAGAAAGCCATAGTCAAGTGCAAGTTATATTTAGATAATCAGTTGCATGCAAGCTTTAAGCACGTGACTCAAGTCAAAGCGCTACAATTGTCATTTTGACAATATTCCAACAGACAGTTTCGACAGAATGCATCAGTATTTGAAGTCAGATAATTTCTGACCTTTAAGCTGCAAGTTATTAAACCACCTCGTTTGTCTGAAAATACTACCATCTAACAACTTGAGTAGTTACAAAGGACTCAGGCTGATCTGCAGGATTTGGTCAGCTAGATTAAACTAATCTAAACACTAGAGGACCATTTCAATCCTATGGGGCCGAGGTCATCAGAAGTGAACCTGGATAAATTCAGCGCACAGAGCCGAATTACTTCAGATCACCCGAATCTGGCTAACTGACTTGCACACCTAAAACAGAATGAACAGTTTGCCAATGATTTACAAACTAGAAGGTCCGCGTTGACTTTGTCGCAGCTTCATAGTTTTCTCAACTACCTATCTGTGGTGTCAACAGGGTTTCCGCTGGAGGCCACTCAGTCAAAATCACAACGTGTGACCTCTGAAACAAAAGTATCAAAAAATAGCAAAGGATTCTACTGCTGAACAACTTGACCAGTTAGAAACCACTCCGGCTGATCTGTAGTATTTCGCCGGTAGCAGTAGTAGTGTAGTGGGCGTTGGTGATAAGAATGGATGTAAGTAGCATATGTTGAGACGGTGGCAGAAATCATTAGCAGTTACCAGCAATGGGTAAGGATTCTGCCAAGAGAAACGCAAGAGACAAGGCAGGCGTATGAAGAGCAAATCAACAAAGAAGTAGAAGAGGAAATGAAAAATAGTTTTAGTGCAAGGTGTATTATATTTAACGAGTACTGTGCCGCTTGTTGACAATAAACAGTCCTCCCTTCATACCTGTCTTTTTATTTCTTTCAGTAGTAGTAGTATTTCACCCCATTTATCTTTGAAATTGCTTCTGTTCACATCCCATTAGTTAAAAGTAAAAGGATTCGGCAGAAATATACTGTCAACCTACCACAACATGGCTAACAGATGAAAAACATCCATTAAGAATAGCTGATGTCACACTATTTGTGGAAGAATTCATGTACTTTGTTTTGATGAAGCTGTTGCAGCATAACAACAGTACCATCATTATGAATCCATCACTTTCAAAAAACATAACATCAAAAATATGTTGAGAGGAATATATCATCTGCTACTGAATTAATATCCCTGAAATGAAGCTTATGAGCAATAAACATCACAAGACCGAGGCATGATCAGAAGACTACCAGTAGTCATTACAAAAGTAATGAAAATGGATCCTGAAAAAGTACTTCCATTTCTTCATCTGTCTAGGTAGGCAGTAAAAATGCATAGTATTTTTGAAAAGTCAAAACTACTCAGTACAGCATATTGGTCACAATTCTCAGATTTTAAGCAGCAAATCTAGTCACTACTCATCCGCTCATGCAGTTGTCTGTTAACCAGTCACGCCACGAGCTCGAACCTTACATTACCTATCAAATTGGTGGATATCAGGTATTATTACATCTTAAAATGAAGTAGTACATTGTAAGTCAGTGTAATTTCTATTAACAGTCAAAATAATGATGAAAACGTATAAAAACTTGAGAAGAATAAAGGTGAATTTCTGAGTATTACTTACTAAATGGTGAAATTTTAATCAACTCTATTACAACTGAAAATAAGCTTACTTGCTACTTAGATACACATAAAAAACAGTGTGGTAGCAGAGTTCAATATTTCTAATCAACACAAACCTAAAAGGATAACCTTTGGACTGTCTACTAATACTAGATATCAGTAAAACAGTACACATTCTAATATCATGAGACGCAATCTAAAATTGTTATCAGTGTATGTAGATGCACACTGTTCCATCATATTATTACTGTATGATTATAGTTTAGATACAATTATTTAAATGCACTGCTGGTGATAATTTTTCTTATCACTGACACAAATATATTTAAACATAAGCAGAACACAGTGCATTCCTGACATACTTGAACTGAGAAAGCTTAAATTCAAATAAGAACCAAGGATAGGGGTAAAGTATTGAAATATGTAGTAGGTCCCGATACCAAGACATATTTGGCAAGTCAGAAAAATAAACGTTAGGGTGCTTCTCAGACGATCATATTAACCTCAGAGTTGGATATTCCGTATGAGTAATCATTAAATCTAGTTTTTTTGAGACATTGCCCAAGATGATTTTTCTTTTCTTTTTCGTACAGCCTGTATTGGTTAATCACGAGAGTGCAACCAATTTCATGTCGCCTAGTCCTGAGTGCAGACCGAATCCTATCGATCATATCTGCAACGTGGCCACCAAACTAAGAGGCTCAACATAGCTGCGCACATCAGAAGAAGTTAGTTGGTTGGAGACGGTCAGCAGGAGGCCCTGAACCTAGGTTTCGTGTTTGTTGGCACGCGTCAGCAAGGCATATCTGTAACCTCGACGGAACTGATGTCCTGCCTGAGATTCGAAATCGTGTCACCCAGTGTTTTAGTCAGCGACTACATTGCAAATATAGTCGATAGGATTCGGTCTGCACTCAGGACTAGACAACAAGAAATTGGTTGCGCTCCCGTGACCAATCAATACACGTAACCCAATCCTACCGGAAATGAATAGCTTCCCGAATAGTTCCGTCTTGATAAGTCTTCTTATTACTTTTTCAAACACTACACAATTCTCTTTCCAATCTCCTGATTTGTGATCAAATGTGAACTCCGATAAAAATATTTCATGAAATATTTGTTTTCTGTTACTATGTAAACAGAATATTTATGTACGACTGTACAGCCTGAGAATGATATCGCTGAGAAGAGTGACTCTTCGCTATGTCTTTTATTGTATAATAGTTTCATATATCTAAGAGGATGTGTCAGAGAGATTATAATTCGATTTAACTAAGGTCACATAACTACACTGATGTAAACATGATGGACAGTCTATATGCGTAAAATTGAAACTGGTAAATACATTTTTGTTTGCTATTCGTTCAATACGACAGACATTTATGACGTAAAACGAAAGTTTATGTTGGCTTCTAAATCATGAAAATGTGATCATTTATTATATGACTTTGGAACGAATTTAAAATGGGTAAAATTGTGTTGGGGCTATAATATTTATTACTGTGAAGCTATAGATTCACGCAAAGATATAGACACCTACGTTATTTCAGACTGGATAGATTCATATCTCTGCACAAAAACAAATTCATTATTTGAACACGTATCTTACTTGTTGGCTGTACATTTTCAAGTGACCTTAGTTGAGATCAGTGGGAAAATGTTTGCTAGCAAAGCATAATAGAAATAATAACCTGAACCAACTAAGATAATAGAAAATTTAGAGTGACTTTAAAAGCTACCCAAACAACAGCCGAAATAGCTAATTACGCTTCTTTATTTCATGAAAAACTACCTTTCTAGTAGGAATACGGAAACCTGATTAGTTATTTCAGCGCTTATTAATATGGCCTTTTAAGTCATTCAAGATTTAGATACCTATATCACTGAAATTAGATACAACGACGTACGCATTGTCTACTGATTTCCAAAACAAGCAATAAATAATGGTACAAGTAGGGAATAAAACAGGCAGATAGTCAGTTGTTTGGCAATTACGACAAAAATCTATTTGGGCTGAACGAGAGCCAATCAAATCCATCATCTAGACAGTGACCTTGATAGTTTCTTTCCATGTAGCGTGATGATAATTAATTAATTAATTAAGGCTAGCAATTAAGCTGACAGGTGAATTATCTGAAGCAATGTCTAATTGAAAGTGAAACTAGGTAGCGAGTTGCGGAATGAGAAGGACTTCTTGGCAGTTCCTTCTGATTTCCTAATAATTTTGTCGAGATTTCCCACTAGCCACAGGAAAAGCCAGTACAAGTCAAAAAGGCGTGTAGTTTGAAATATATATACATTTCCTTGTCATCTGGTATGAATCTGGCCGAATAGCATCAATATTATCATTTGGTTATTTCTGTATTTGCCTTTCAAGGTATACAATCCAGTTAGTCAACACACTGTCATAGTAATGATGGCTGATATTTGGCAAGTTAGTGACGAACCTGAAAGGATGTTTCAGTCGCTTATAAAGTCTGGTAGACTGAAGAAATTCAATAATAGTGAAAATTCTTGAATTTGAATCCGTTTCTATGCACAAGAACATGCTAAGAACAACAAATAAAAGACAAATCTAGACACAAACCTGTTCATATTGCCTTATTCATAATACTATTTGAGAACAACTATAGATTTGAGTACATACTACTTCATGTTGAGTTATATGCACTCATCGTAGTTAAGTACAATGTACTTTTGTAGCATAAAAATTTTTTGCACCATATTAAAAAAATGAGAAAAACAATGGATAATGAAAAACATCTCCGTTTTACAACCTACCTGGACGAAAATCATAAAGACACCATTGATTACAAGTTTCGCCCACACAGGTAATTTAATAAAACTCTCAGGCTGACCAAACATTAGTGGAAAACCAATAAGCATTAACATACATCCACCAAGATGCCATGATTTCCTTCTACCAAGTTTCAATTGACGTTTCACTCTGCTGAAGAACTTTTTCTCCTTGACCACTTCTTGAACCTTTGGCTTATCGACTTGAGAGCCATTGGCAAACACCGTTTTTGGAATAAGGCGACGATCTGATAGAAAGCCAATCAACGGTGTGGCTAAACCATTAGCCACTTGACCAACAAGTAATAATGTTCCAACTTGTGAACTGCTCAAACTGATACAACCTCCATAGAAAACAATGTAAAATGTACTAATAACTCCAGCTACAAGATCTTTAAGCATTTGACCAGTACCGTAAGCGATTTTAGTGATCCACTTCATTTTTATGTGAGAAGTATAATGATTATGTAAATAGCCAGTGAAGATTGTTTCTGATAATTTCACTCATCAAAAGTTCAATTTTTTGTTGCAAAATTCTATAGCTATACACGATCCATACATCTTTGAATTGAATTGACTTGTGAGATGATCGATATCAATGAATACCGAAAATTGACACCCATAAATATATATTGCCAATAAAAATATTATCCTATATATTTATATTAATCGTTCACCGAATTTATTAGCCCCGATTCGTTAATCAATATGTACTGACATTCCCGATTAGCCAATCAGAGGATTAGTATTCCGATGATGATTTAATTTAGCAGCCTATTAAAATAATCCTTTATTTAAGCATTGCAATGTCTGATGAATCCAAAACAACAATGACAGAATTTTAAACAAAAAAATTCACCTACTACTAGTTCATAATTTCTCTTGATTTTATTTCTCGTTTCTTTAAGTCTGTAATGAGTAGTTCATCATAATAAATGTATAACCGACGGTAATGCAAAAAACTTGTTTCTACCAAGATTTTGTCAACCTTGAAACCGGGTGATTCAGTGCAAAGGAAAAATCCATAGGGTAAGTAGAAGTGACTCACAACGATGTCTAAACAACCAAATCCAGCATGAAGAACAACTTTAAAGGTAATTCATAATACCGTACCCAGTGACAATCGAAGAAAACAAGAGATAAAGCAGGTTCTATTTCAGGATATATGGCGGATAATCATGAATAGCATATCTCGAAATGAAAACAAGACATCCATAAAATTTACAACGGAATTGCTTGACATAAAAGAAATGAACTACACTTTGTAATACTCTGAGCACGGTTGTTTAATCGTGAAGCTTTCATCGTCTTTCTAGACGACATGATCAGCACTAACTTCAGTATGAGGTGAGCTGTTAATATCTCTCCGTGGGTCATTTAGTGGCTTGCCTTGACAAAGCGGTTTGTGATTGGTTGTTTCCTTTGATTGTTGCGTTATTGACTGTATAGATTTTCCTGTTGGCCGTCCCTCTGCTTGACATCTGACCTTTCTGTCATTTATCATCTGTCTTATTGGTTGGTAGATTGGGTCTATGTCTATACATCTGTTGATTGCTGACTGACCTGAATGCCAAGCTTCTAGGAATTCTCTGATCTTCATTGTGTTTCCTCTGTCCAAAATTTCTGCATTGTCGAAATTGAATTCATGTCCATAATTATCCACGTGCATTGAAATGAGTGACGAAATGTCGTGGCGTTTAATAGCCAATTGGTGTTCATGTAGACGAAGGTGAAGAGGGCGGCCGCTTTGTCCGATGTAGTGCTGACTACAGCTATTGCAGTTGATTTTCTAAATGATATTCGGTTTGTCTTCTTTGCTTGTTGCATCCTTTGGTCTGCATAATAGTGTTTGGAGGGAATTTGTTGATTTATGAGCCACACCAATTCCAAGTGGTATCAGCGATCTTGTTGTGATTTCTGATATATTCTTTATGTATGGTAGGACAATGCGTTTGTTGATTTCTGTCGATAACTTTGTAGTTGGTGATGCACGGCATAGGCATCTTCTGATAGAGTTTCGTGGGTAGCCGTTCTTCTTAAGGGTGGACATCAGGTAATTTTCTTCGTTTCTCCGTGAAGTTGTTGTGCTGCAGAGTTTGCACGCAACTGATCCTGTGGGTTGTTGGGTTGTCCCTACTGTAGTTGACGATTTGGTCAGTGTGTGTTGGCTTCCTGTACACTTGGGTTTCCAGCTTTCCGGCATTTGTTATACTGACCAAAAGATCCAGGGATTTTAATTAATTCTTTCACTCCTTCTATATTATAGAAAACACAGCAAACAAAATATGAAGAAATCGGGACAAATTTTCCGGTAAAATATCAGTGTTCATTATTTTACAAAAGAAAGTTTCGCAATCGATATTATTATTATTATTGTTATTATCATTCGTTATTTGTCCCTTGTGTGGAACATAGGGCTTCAGTAACACGTCGCCATTTCACTCTCTTCTCCACAGGCTTTTCAACCTGGCGCCACGACTGCCCATAAGCTTTCATTTCTTCCTCACATGTTATCCTCCATGTCACCCTCTCTTGGGACGCACAACTCATCGTTTCTCCTTTGGATCTCATTCGACGGCCTGGCCTGGCACGTGATATCGCCGAATGGTCTTCTCAGTGTATGCCCAATTCAATCCATCTCCACTTTCTTCTGCATATTTGTTGAGCGATGGGTTCTTGGTCGGATCGTTGCCAGCCAGCTAGAGTGAGTTCCTTGCCGCTTATTTTTATTACTCTGCCAATCTGATCTTCAGTATCGAACGTAGGTGGCAGCTGTTGATGATGTACGTCCGTAGTTTGTTGGAAATGCTTCTCGTAACGCGCCAAGTCTCTCAACCATCACATAGAAGAACTGACTTGACTGACATTAGTGTTGAAAATCAGAATGTTGTTCACGCTTTATACTGAGTGCAGTCGATCTCCTCACCGGTTTCAGGTTAATGAACGTCTGTCTTGCTGTCTTTTTGATCCTCGCTTCGACGTCCTCATCTCTGCTGCCACCTGCAGTTGGAATGATGCTGCCTAGGCTGGTAGGTAGGTGAAAGAGACTACTTCCTCTAGGTTTCTCCCGTTGACGGTGATTTGTCCTTGTTTTTGTCGCTGTCTATTGGGTATCTCCCTCACCTCTATCTTCTCTAAGTTCACTTGAAGTTTCGTCTTCCTTGGCTGCCCTGCCTCTTCTCTCAACTTACTGGTTTTTTCCTATAAATCTTCAAGCTTGTACGACACTGGACAGAAATCATCATCGGCAAAATCCAAATCTTCCAGGGTCTTTTCATTGGTTCAGCTAGAGTATGCTACAGTTCTCGCTGCGCACAGTTGTCTTTTATATGATCCAGTCAAGTCGACCACAATCAGGAAGATAATGGATGATAGTAGCCAGCCGTGTCTTACGCCTACCTGTCTTCACTTCACTTCGAAGGCGTCACTGAGCTTCCCCTTGTGAATTACTTGGCATGTGGCATCTTCATATAGTTGTTGAATGAGGCTGATAAAGGTTTGTGGTATTCCGTAGTATTGCAGCAGCTTCCAAATTACTTCTCGGTCGACGCTGTCTAAGGCCTTCTCAAAGTCGATGAAGTTGAGGTAGAGAGCTGATTGCCATTCTATGCTCTGTTCTATGATGATGCATAGCGCAGTGCTGCAATCTGATCCGCACATGAGTTGTTATTCTTCATGCCAGCCAACCAGCCAGTCTCTTCCGGTCGTAGTTTTGAATCCAGACCACTTTTTAGTCTCTCCAAGATGATGCGGCTTAATATTTTGCTTGCTTGGGGTGGACAGGAGCGTGATTCCACGCCAGTTCTTGCAAACACTGAGGTCTGCCTTCTTTGGGAGTTTGACGAGGTAACCATTCTTCCAATCTGCAGGTACCTCCCCTCCCTTCCACACCTTCTGCAATAGTGGTGTGAGCATGTCCACTGTTGTCTCTGCGTCTGCTCTCAGTGCTTCTGGTGGAATTCCATCTGGTCCTGTTGCTTTCCCACATTTCAGCAGCTTTATGGTGTTCAGAACTTCCACTTTTGTTGGAGGATTTATGTTCACTTGTAGTTCAGCGGTTGCAGGTGGTATTTCTGGACGAAGTGCAGGTGGTGGTCGATTCAAGAGTTTTTTGAAGTGTTCGGCGGATTGTTTCCTTTGTTTCTCCTCTTTGGTAACTACGTTTCCTTCACTACCTTTCATTGGTTTCGTCTGCGTTGATCTCTCCCATCCCAGATAGTAACCTGGTTATTCGATACAATGTTGTCAAGTCTCTCTTACCTGCAGCCTGTTCTGCTTCACTTGCCAATGTGTCGCAGAAGTGTCTTTTGTCTTTACGTGCACTCTTCTTCACTTCATTGTCCAGTGTTTTATACATTGTGCTCAGTTCCTCTTGTCGTTGTGCATCCTTGCACTGGTTTATCTTCTGTTTCACCATCCTCCTCTCCCTGCTCTATCAGCTTCCATGTGCCCATTGAGATCCATTCCTTATCTTCTTTCTTCTTCCTTCCTAATACGGCTGTGCAGGTTTCTTTCCACATAGCTTTCAAAGACTTCCAGTGCTTATCCACATATGTTTCTACAGGGATGTTCCTCGATATCTCCCATTTTGTCTTGATGGCTGACGTGAAGAGATTTCCTTTGTAGTTTCATCCTTCAGTTTATGAGTGTTGTACTTGGACTGCGGTCTATCGCCAGCTTCCTTGAAGGCTTTTAACTTGATTTGGAAGGTTCCTTGCACTAGATGGTGAGTGGTGTGAACCTACATCTGCTCCTCTTCCTGACCTTGTGTCAAGTAGGCTGACTGTGTCTCCACTTTCTTGAGATTGAGATAAAGTCGATTTGATTTTTAGTGTGTCTGGTGTCTGGTGAAATCCATGTCGCTTTGTGAATATCCTTGTGTTTGCACACACTGCCTCGCCTCCAATTAACAAATCGTTGAATGCACACAATTCTGTAAACAATTCTCCATTCTTGTTCATTTCACCTAGCGCTTCTCGGCCCATAGTTGGTTCTCTTCATGTGTTGTCCGCTCCCAGTTTGGCATCCATGTCGCCCATTAGAATTTTGATATCGCCAACTGGGTTGTGGTCTTGTCCAGTGTGGATTGCAGTTGTCTGTAGAATTCCTCCTTTGTCTCTTGCTCTGCATTATTTGTTGGTGCGTAGAGTAGCATTGTGTGATTGTGACTTTCCTTCCTTTTGAGTTGAATCTTGCTGCCTACGTAATGGATAACGAAACAAAATTACTACATAGTAAAAGTAGTTACGTCACATGGAAATTATCCAGTGTAACTGATCCTCTTTGACAACTACGGCAAAGAAGGATGTTTTACATACTTCTTTTGAATGCGCAATGACGGTTTGGGCTTATGAATTGCTAATACTTCAACTATGCCCAAATTTCTTAGCCTAACTCCTTTCAAATGGTTTGTTTGCACCCAGCAAAAGACTTTGAAGGACTTATCTAAAGGAGCTAAATGTCTTGAGTTTACTTAGTGTTCTGCAACATAGCTGAAGATAAATTTCCGTTCTCTCCCTGCTAGCTAGTTTGGATACTTTTTGTCAGCGCATAACACAAGCTGGCGCATGGTATCACCAATGTAGTCGGCTCTACAGAAGGAAGTAAACCAGTATACCGAAACTGATGTGGCCTAAGGCTCCAACTTATCCTTTGCAT